CAGTTTCTCATTATTGTTTTTGTCCTCGCTCAACTTTTGATCTTTCTATTACCGCCTAACAAGTTGCGTGTTGCACATTTGCTACACAACTCACCGTAATAAAAATGCTCATGTCACCGTGACATTATAACCCACTCCATTTTCCCTTTATCACCCCATTTTCCTTGCAATAACACTCATTCACCCATATTTGCCTATCAGAAATTCTATCTACTGATTGTACATTTCATTTTCCATAGCACCAGAAACTTCTAGTTTAATGTTTTAACCGATTCAGTGGCGTAGGCAGGGTTTACAAATGGGGACAGTTAACAATATCCACTGATATACAGTGACGTTTGCAAGTGGGTTGGGGTAGGGGTTAGAACCCCCTTCCTCCCATGGACACCCAAAATGAAAGTACCTCTCATATTATAAACGTATACATATATTTTATCTAATCTTAAATCTTTACTCTAATTATTATTTCATTCTTAGTTAAATTTACCCCAAATTTATCACGATATTTTGTGAATCGACCTACCCTTCACCGTAATACAATTTTTAACATCTTCGTACTAAAATGTAAAGTAGTTGTCAGTTCTTAACGTCGTTACTCTAAATTACCTTTCCATTAGTCAAATTGACCCGTATTACGTCATCGGACTACGGGCCAACCGATCCGACCAATCACATCGTCGCTGCCTCGATCTGGCTTCTCCATTAAATTGTTAGTCATTATATCATGACGGTATAAGACGTCACCAATCACACAGCCGGCGCTAAAATGTTACTGAGTTGAATTTAAAATTCAAGAAATATCTACACACACAATATGTATTCAGCTATTTCATGGCTTTACGATGTATTTATAATTTTAATTTTTAAAAAATAACTTTTATTTTTAAAATTTGAGTTCCTTTTCTACATGATTTGAAGAGCATCCATGCATTTCTTTACGTATTTCATAATTTCAACCCACAGACTGCAAATCTCGTTTTCTACATCCAAACGAGACTTTCACCGAAAGACTTCCGTTAAGCTGCTAGTGTTGAGTTTAACATCCGCCATTATCTACCCATAATGCTCTACCGCCGTTTTTACAGCTGTGTATTCAACAATTAAGCTCTTTAGATGTGCTTCCGTATTGAAAAGAACATAATAAAAAATTAATTACTTTCAAAGTTCTTAACATATTTGAAAAGAAAATGAATTTTTTTATTTTTATAAATTTAATTAACATGCACAAAACGACTCAAGTAAAAGAAATACTTTTATTATAAATATTTTATTTTAAAAAGTGAATGTTGTTCATTTTAAAGAAAATTGACAAAAAACAAAAGATCACCAAATGCTAGTGTGAGGTCGTTTACTTTGATGAACGAACAAACGGAAGTCTCTATAGAATATGCCCTGTGTTGGATATGTACACAAGCAAACGGTTCCTCAAGTAGAGTACGACAGTCGACGCTTATAAAACTTATTTTAGTGGCTTGTGCTTTCACTAAAACATCTACAGAAAGAATTTTTTATTTTATTTTCTTTTTTAACGAGCTGTTTAAAGATTGTTGTAATTTTTAAATACACGTTTTATTTTTATTTTTACAGTTGTATTTAACGCAACTTATCTATTCTAACCCATCAGAGTTTGAGAAAATGTAATCAGAATCTCATTAACTTCAGAGATAAAAGAAATTGGGAGATCAAAGCTGAATAAATAAATTCAATTTAAATTTGAAAGCAAGCAACGTTGTATTCAATTATTAAAACTGTTTAAAGTTGGAAAGTAATCGTTGGCTACGTTAGACAATCTAAGAAGGTTGTTTAAAATTTTAATGATACAATCACAATCAAAGAAGATTGTTTGAGATTTTAATGATACAATCAGGGATGAAAAGAAGTGACGTCACAGTCTGGTATAACAGCACACCTATCAATTCTCACTTGGCTTTTTAACTCTACCCGACCCCTGTCCATATCCCCGTCTCCACCCCTCTCCCCATTCCATGCCACCAATCATGTTCCCCGTCCTGCCCCTACGCGTAACACCCCCTTCCTACCCTTGTCTCTACCCTGTCCCCACATTGTCCCTACTCCTGTTCCCACACTGTCCCTACCCTGTCCCCACATTGTCCCTACCCTGTCCCCACATTGTCCCTACCCCTGTTCCCACACTGTCCCTACTCCTGTTCCCACACTGTCCCTACTCCTGTTCCCACACTGTCCCTACCCCTGTTCCCACACTGTCCCTACCCCTGTCCCCACATTGTCCCTACCCATGTCCCCACTTTGTCCCTACCCCTGTTCCCACACTGTCCCTACCCCTGTCCCCACATTGTCCCTACCCATGTCCCCACTTTGTCCCTACCCCTGTCCCCACATTGTCCCTACCCATGTCCCCACTTTGTCCCTACCCATGTCCCCACATTGTCCCTACCCATGTCCCCACTTTGTCCCTACCCCTGTCCCCACATTGTCCCTACCCATGTCCCCACATTGTCCCTACCCATGTCCCCACACTGTCCCTACCCCTGTCCCCACACTGTCCCTACCCCTGTCCCCACATTGTCCCTACCCATGTCCCCACTTTGTCCCTACCCCTGTCCCCACATTGTCCCTACCCATGTCCCCACTTTGTCCCTACCCCTGTCCCCACATTGTCCCTACCCATGTTCCCACACTGTCCCTACCCCTGTTCCCACACTATCCCTCCCCTGTCCACCACCCTACCCCTATCCCCGACCCTCCCTGTCCCCCAACCATGTCCCCCCTCACTCAAAACTCCACCAAAACTCCACCACCGTCCACCACAACTCCCCCGCTCCCCAACCACGGGTAAACAACTCCGACCTTGACCTTCAAACCTCTACCCCCCCCCCCAACCTAAATTAATATGCACCACCTGATGTCACTTCCGCATTTCCTAACAGTACACCCTGTTCCCTGGTCTAAAAACTCCCAATCTCATCCAATCCACCTTTATCTCGAGTTCCCCAATTGAAACCACCTGTTTTCTATTGACGGGCATGAATCCCATTATCCGCCATCGGCCCCACACAGGAAATTCAATCATTTATTTACAAAAAAATAAAAATGAAAACGAGGTTGTATCTTTTATCGAAACAATTTCGTCAGGTCACTAGCTTGACCTTGGTCAGTCTAGATCAGTGACGTAACGACCACAACACCGCGTCACTATGTGACGCAGATGCGTCCACGCCTGACGCCAAATTTGATTTCATCCAATCACGACCAATCCTCGCCGTCACGTGACTTCATATCGTGACACGTCATCGTGTCACGAGGGTGTTGTTTACCTGCGTTCGAGGGCGATGTCATTTTTATCAGGCTAATTTGTCGGGGGTACTTTTGTGCTTAAGCTATTACCGTCGCCCAATTTCCTTTGGTCGACGCTTCTAACGGAGATTACCCTTGTTGATTTATTCAAAGCTTTTCATCTACGACAGTAAAAGATAAAAACAACTTTAAAGTAAATGTAATCATCAGTCAACAACAAAAAACAAAAACAAATGAGTTTTGTTTTTTGACGAATAGTGCAGGTGACCAACATAGGTGGTTGTTCGATTTAATTTCGGCGTGTTTTTATTCTTGTCGAATGTAGTTGCTGTTGTTGTTTAATTTTGTTGCTGCTGTTGGTGTCTAATGTTGTTGTTGTCTAATGTTGTTGTTGTCTAATTATGTTGTTTTTGTTGTTGTCTAATTATGTTGTCGCTGTTGTTTTCTAATGTTGTTGTCGGTGTTGTTTTCTAATGTTGTTTTTGTCTAATTATGTTGTTGTTAATGTCTGTTTTTATTGTTGTTGTCTAATTATGTTGTTGTTGTTGTCTATTTTTATTGTTGTTGTCTAATTATGTTGTTTTTTTTCTAATGTTGTTGTTGTCTAATTATGTTGTTGTTGTTGTCTATTTTTATTGTTGTTGTCTAATTATGTTGTTGTTGTTTTCTAATGTTGTTGTTGTCTAATGTTGTTGTTGTTTTCTAATGTTGTTGTTGTCTAATGTTGTTGTTATGTCTAATTTTGTTATTGTTGTTGATGTCTAATGTTGTTGTTATGTCTAATTTTGTTATTGTTGTTGATGTCTAATGTTGTTGTTATGTCTAATTTTGTTATTGTTGTTGATGTCTAGTGTTGTTCTTGTGAGCTGATCTGTAGTTTAAGCATAAAAATCCACAACAAATAAAATATTATATTCTTGTGTCTCACTAAACACCGAGAGCTTTGTCTACCCTTTCCAAACTACGAATGTGCAACAGCACTGCGAAATCTGTTCTCCTCTATGGTTCTCTGACGTGGAGAGTAACACAAACTAATCACAACAAACTCCAGACTTTCATCAAAGAGTGCGTCCGCCGTATATTGAACATCAGGTGGCCTGAAAAACATTACCAATGCCGAACTGTGAAGAAAAAATTAGGCAAGATCCTATTGGTGCTATCGTCCAAAACTGAGTACGATGGAGAGGTGTGGCTGTGTCCTTACTCTCCACAAGGGGTCCACAGATATGGCGATTATAATATGTGTCTAATGACTTGATTTAATATGCGTTTTTTGGCAATACATGTTATGATTGCTTTGTAAAGTAAAGCCATGTCGAATTAATTAACTGAATAAACATGTGTTTCATTACTTAAATTCAGTATTTGTGTCATCTCCTAAATCCAACATTTATTTCTTCATCTAAAACCAACATTCGTTACAATATCTTAATCAAACATTTGTTTGATCTCCAAAATTCAACATTTTTTTCACCACCAAAATCCAATATTTGTTGTATCATCTAAATCCAACAATCGTTTAGATCAAACATTTGTTTCATCCCTTAAATTCAACATTTGTTGTGTCAACTTAATCCAACATTTGATTTTACTACCTAAATCCAACATTTGTTTCAATACCTAAATCCAACATTTGTTTTATCCCCTATATTTAACATTTGTTTCATCACCAAAATCCAACATTTGCTTAGCATCTTAATCCTATTTTTGTTTTCTCCCCTCAGCTGACAACGATGCCTTTCAAGCGGTTCTCACACATGTGGCGGAGCAGCTCAACAGGTAGACACCAATATTTTATACAATTTTTTCTCATGTGTGGGGGTTGTGTGTTGGGTTGTGTGTGAGGTAGTGTATGGATGTGAGGGTAGTTTGTGAGTTGGTGTGGGGGAGCAGCTCAACAGGTAGCCACCGCTATTTTATACAATTTTTTCACATGTGTGGGGACAGTTTGGGGGGGGGGGGGGGTTGTGTGTAAGGGGAGTGTGTGAGGTATTGTGGGGATATTGTGTGAGGTAGTGTGGGGGTGTGGCGTATCAGCTTAACAGCTAGCCTACACCATCTTACTTTCATGTGTGTGGGAGAGTGTGGGAGAAGATCCAAAATATGGTGGTGTGGGTGTGTATGGGAGCAATCTATATTGGTTTGGTTATATGTGTGTATGTATGTGCGTGTGTGGAATGTGTGCGGAGTGTGTGTAAAGTATGTGAGGGAAGTTATTTGAATGAGTCGCGACACTGCGTGTAAGTTGTCACTATAAAAAAAAAACAATCGTCATATTTTCTGCGTCTTTACACCTCCCACAAATGAGTGTCTATACACCTCACTCAAATAACTATATACAACTGGTCTAAAAGTAAATATTCACCACATGAACACCACGCACTCACACACTGACGTTAAACACATAAAAACACACGCATCTATTTTTTTTTAAAGTTATTTACAGACGGCTTAATCAAGCGCCTCCTGGTGTACCTGAGATAATGTCCTTTACGACTGCGCCGAGAAGAATGTTGATATCCCCAGCTAAAGTACCTTATCATTAGGGTTGCTGCCTCTTCTTGTACTGCAACTCTACTGTTCCACTTTTGGGATCGTTGAACTTATACTGTTACTGCTACTGTTTACTATCGTGATAATAGGGCTGGTAAGTAGGTCACCAACCAGTTATACGGCTCAATAAAACCTGCATGAGCCATAGAAGTGGTTGGTGACCTACTTACCAGCCCTATAGGGCAACATACTGTTACTGTTAATTATCGTGACGGTTGGACCTCTACTGTTCCAGATTTCAGACCCCAAAAGAAAAGTCGAACGCAAGAAATGTTGTTGTGAACTACCAAGAAACGTTGATATTTTGACCGCTAAATATAGCTCTATCTAAGAGCAGATAACTCTCATTAAAAAAAAGTAGTTCGAGGTCTCAGGTAGAGTTCCCGTCTACTTCTAGTCTACCCCGATCAATAGGGTCAAATAAAACCGTAACTACTCCTTACTAGAGGAGCCTCTATTTCCTCCCTCGCCCTACACGCACCAGAACACGCTCTCCACCCCACTCCACTCCCTAGTGTTAGAGAAAACCCAACCGAATTTCCTCACTTGTAACCACCAAACACAACTAATTTCCTTACCGAGATTATTTTTAGAAGATACCATTTTCCAAAATATTTCATTTTTTTTTTAAATTAAATTTTGTGCCCAACCGTGCGCACATTTGCGGCTTGTGAAAAAACAACCTAAACGCTACATATAAGTGCTCAGTTGTTTTTTTATGAAATAAATATTATAACTCACTGCTGTTAAAAGAGATTTCGTGAACTGATGGTTTTTAAGCTTTTCCTGTAGCCATGTATTATAGAAGGAGAGGGGGGGGGGGTCTGAACGTTAGAAACTTTTTTCTGGCATGGTCTCTATTCCAATCGTTTGCTGCAATAGCCTGCACTTTTTCACGTGACCTCTCAAGGACATGTCACCATCCCATGACCTCTCGAGAACTTCACCTCGCGCCGTCAGCTCTCCGCCCCTGACCTTTGCCCCACGTATGAAACGTTAAAGGTCATTTGCCCTCTGGCATCCTCTAAGAAACGGCCGTGAAATTTTCTTTTTTCTGGAAACTTCCAGACGATGCTGACGTCACTACATCTCTACTGTGGCCATGTGTGAGAAAGTCTGTTTAAAAAACTCGACCCTAAACCTAAAAAACTTGACCCTAACCCTAAAAAACTTGACCCTAATCCTAAAAAAAACCTGCCCCTAACCCTAAAAAACTTGACTCTAACCCTAAAAACCTGACCCTAACCCTAAAAACCTGACCCTAACCCTAAAAAACTTGACCCTAACACTAAAAAACTTGACCCTAACACTAAAAAACCTGACCCTAACCCTAAAAAACTTGACCCTAACACTAAAAAACTTGACCCTAACACTAAAAAATAAAAAACTTGACCCTAACACTAAAAAACCTGACCCTAACCCTAAAAAACTTGACCCTAACACTAAAAAACTTGACCCTAACACTAAAAAACTTGACCCTAACACTAAAAAACCTGACCCTAACCCTAAAAAACTTGACCCTAACACTAAAAAACTTGACCCTAACACTACAAAATAAAAAACTTGACCCTAACACTAAAAAACCTGACCCTAACCCTAAAAAACTTGACCCTAACACTAAAAAACCTGACCCTAACCCTAAAAACCTGACCCTAACACTAAAAAACTTGACCCTAACACTAAAAAAATAAATAACTTGACCCTAACACTAAAAAACCTGACCCTAACCCTAAAAACCTGACCCTAACACTAAAAAACTTGACCCTAACACTAAAAAATAAAAAAAAAACTTGACCCTAACACTAAAAAACTTGACCCTAACACTAAAAAACTTGACCCTAACACTAAAAAATAAAAAACTTGACCCTAACACTAAAAAACTTGACCCTAACACTAAAAAATAAAAAACTTGACCCTAACACTAAAAAACCTGACCCTAACACTAAAAAACTTGACCCTAACACTAAAAAACTTGACCCTAACACTAAAAAATAAAAAAAACTTGACCCTAACACTAAAAAACTTGACCCTAACACTAAAAAACTTGACCCTAACACTAAAAAACTTGACCCTAACACTAAAAAATAAAAAAAACTTGACCCTAACACTAAAAAACTTGACCCTAACACTAAAAAACTTGACCCTAACACTAAAAAATAAAAAAAACTTGACCCTAACACTAAAAAACTTGACCCTAACACTAAAAAACTTGACCCTAACACTAAAAAATAAAAAAAACTTGACCCTAACACTAAAAAACTTGACCCTAACACTAAAAAACTTGACCCTAACACTAAAAAATAAAAAAAACTTGACCCTAACACTAAAAAACTTGACCCTAACACTAAAAAACTTGACCCTAACACTAAAAAATAAAAAAAACTTGACCCTAACACTAAAAAACTTGACCCTAACACTAAAAAACTTGACCCTAACACTAAAAAACTTGACCCTAACACTAAAAAACTTGACCCTAACACTAAAAAATAAAAAACTTGACCCTAACAGCGATACTCTCAGGTTTCAACAAAACATCCTTGATACGCCATGATGGTGTCATGTGGGTGTTTCTGTTAGAAGTTTTCTCATGAATGAATTCAAACGTGCAAGACTAAAATTAAAATTAGAAAAATTAAAAGTACTTGACCAAACCTAGCTGATTGGGGCGGCACCAACAATAGAAAAATGAAAAGAAGGCTACTCCAGTCGATTAGGGCGTCACAAAACACAGAAAAATGAAAAGTAGGCTACTCCAGTCGATAAGGGCGTCACAAAACACAGAAAAATGAAAAGAAGGCTACTCCAGTCGATAAGGGCGTCACAAAACACAGAAAAATGAAAAGTAGGCTACTCCAGTCGATAAGGGCGTCACAAAACACAGAAAAATGAAAAGTAGGCTACTCCAGTCGATAAGGGCGTCACAAAACACAGAAAAATGAAAAGTAGGCTACTCCAGTCGATAAGGGCGTCACAAAACAGAAAAATAAAAAGTAGGCTACTCCAGTCGATAAAGGCGTCACAAAACAGAAAAATAAAAAGTAGGCTACTCCAGTCGATAAAGGCGTCACAAAACAGAAAAATAAAAAGTAGGCTACTCCAGTCGATAAAGGCGTCACAAAACAGAAAAATAAAAAGTAGGCTACTCCAGTCGATAAAGGCATCACAAAACAGAAAAAAGAAAAGTAGGCTACTCCAGTCGATAAAGGCGTCACAAAACAGAAAAATAAAAAGTAGGCTACTCCAGTCGATAAAGGCGTCACAAAACAGAAAAAAGAAAAGTAGGCTACTCCAGTCGATAAGGGCGTCACCAACACTAGAATGTTCTAGTTCTAAACAAGCAGTGAATAAAACAATCAAGCGTTAAATTATTTTGGCTGAAGAAATTAAAAACCTTGTGTCCTCGCTAGATTAATTAAAATCTAGTCCATCAACCAATCCTTTTTCATTTTTTTATGATTTGATTACCCCGATACTAATTAAAGTAATTAACCACAAGAATACGTGATGTTTGTAAAAAAATAAAAACTTCCAAATGTTTTTATTACCGCGGATCGCAAATTTTGATTCGTCTGTTTCAAGGGCAATTAATTTTATGTCTTAATTATTAAAAAACGCACAATTGATTGGCCTGAATTTATCGGGTCCTATCCTTGTCAAATCAAATTGACGTTTTTTTAATCTGTTCATTTGGGCATGAAACTAGAATAAAAAGTTGAATAAAAAAAATTTATAAGATATAAAGGCGTGTTATAATTTGTTTTTCTTCTACATTGACGATTTCTCAACCAATGGTTCTTAACCTTTTACAGGTACCGAACCCCACCAGTTTTATATGCACATTCACCGAACCCACCAGCAGAGCCGGCGTTAGGAATACGCGGGGCCTAGGGCCAACCATCCGCGCGGGGCCTTTCCATTATATATATATATATATATATATATATATATATATATATATATATATATATATATATATATATATATGTATAAAGGCCTATATAATGTGATGTACACTTAATAACACAAATGTTTTGGATTTTATAAGCTAATGTCAAACTTTCCACTATAATAACAGATTTTATCTCTCCCATGTATTAACCCAATGTTCGTAGTTTTTTTTCCTTTGCTAAGATATTAAATCACTTTTGACAGTTATGTAATTCATACCAAATCACTTAAGAATATTTAATCACGTGCCGAAAAATTTGGAAAATATAGTTTACGAT